AACCTAACCTTCTTGCAAACACTTCTCTTTCAGATGGCCAATCACAATCATTCCCTTGATATATTGGTTTTGGGGAATTCCAAAATAATTTTCCTCCAAATCCCTTTTCTATATAAAAATATTTTTAATTTTTTAAATTATTTTTTACCTTTTAAAAAGTCCATAACTTCTTTATTATATTTTTTAAAGAAAAGCATTGCTTCTCTTGCATAAACTGTCAAAGACAATTTACTTGCATCTTTAAAATATGGTTAAAATTATTTTTAAAACAATCATGTCATTTTAAAACTTTAATCTGTAAATAATCTAATATGAAACGTGTGACGAAAAATTTCCAAAAACCACTTATGTCTTATCATGCATTTCCTATTTTGCACTATGCTTTTCCCTTATTCACACTTCTTTAATGCGCCAAAGGCGAAACTTTTGGAGGTATTGAAATTTCTGTTGAGTAACATTCATTCTTCTAGAACTGGCAAACTTTTTATGACATTACCCAGGGTAATTATTTTAGCAATTTTTCACAGCATTTTTTCAATTTTTTCCACTTTTTTTCACGAAGAGCCCAAATTTCCGCTGGAGCCCAATTTTCCGAAAAGTTGGAGCCCAATTTTCCAGAGCCCAATTTTCCGGCACTCAAATTAAAGTCTTAGTCTAACTTTCTAAAATGCTCAAAGCCCGACTCCGTAAAAATCCATCTAACTCTTGGTTCAAGGCCAAAAGTCTCGCATATTTCAGCATGTAATTTAATGAAAATTTTTTCTATACCCACCAGTTACAACAATATATTGTATATCTATTTCATCAACTTGTGTGTCATTTCCAAATTTTGGTCCAACTTTGATTATATAAACTTTAAATAATAATTATCATTATTTTAATTATTTTACTTATTTAATTCTATTAATTACCCTCTCCCTATTAAATGCCCTCTCCAGCCAAAGGCTGAAAAATAGCTACCCAGGGTAATTATTTGAGTATATAGGGTTCTCTATGCATTTTAAAATTAATCATTTACATTGTCTTGGATAAAAATATTCTTCAGTATACATCCAATACTTGCCAGTACCTACTTTATTTAGATCTCTCTTAAAAGTTTCTATTGGTCCATTTTTTGACACTGCACGATAAGCTTCCTTTTTAATTTTTTTACAATTTATTTTTTATTTGTTTCATTAAAAACCTCAATAGAAAATCCATCTTCACCCATTACACTGTTTGGTTTAACTTTTAAAAATTATTTCTAATAAAAAAATTGTTTATTAATTACAATAGCTAACGGCACAATACATTTGCGGCCTGTTAATGTCAAAGCTGACAGATGCTTTATAGACTTGAAACCTTTAAATTTTGTTAAGAATAAATTAAAATATTTCTAGTTAATTTTATCAATAAAATTAAAAAATTAATTTACAAAAGAAGGGACCAGAAAAAAATTGAAAATTAATTGTCATGGTAGTTGATATTGACCGATACCGATATACGACGGAAATGAATTGAAAAATAATAATGTAACTATCCCATTGAATCTAGCCTATCCACAGTCCATATAATCCAAGAAATTAACAAGGGGAAGGATCAATCAGATGATCAAAAAATAGTCAGTCCTATATTATTGCCGGTCGTAGGAAAATTTCATTGCCAGTTTAATCACTCTGAAGGGGTGAGTTGTGAATAATGTCCAGCCGGACTAACAACAATAATCAAAGTATTCCCTTCATATTCCGCTAATTCTTAGCTCTAATTTAGAATTGGATTGGGATGCAGATATATAGGGATCTTTAGTTAGATAGGGATCATCCGTTAATTAAAAAAATTAAAAAATCCAACCATTTGCCCATAATAAGGGCTGAAGGAACATCAATAGTTTCTGCTGGATTTTGAATCATTTGGCCTATACCGCTAATAATCTCAGCAAAATTTTGAATATCCCACTAAATAGACAAATTTAATTTAATAATTTATTTAAGTAATTCACAGGATTTTCGCCGATTGCATTTACATTAATACACTCCTCCACATAACTATACAGCCACCCTATTTTTCAAAATTTTTCCTGCTTAAATATGAATTTGGAAATTTTTACACTTAAATATAATAGACAAGCAGCAAATGGACCGATTATTATGCTTTTTCAGAAATTATTAAGTTTTATTCAGTCAATTTCCACTTTACCTGCCAAAATTACCTCCACATAACTATACAGCCACTTGTATTTTCGGCCTTAGGGGTGGTCCGAAAAATCTACAAAAATTCCTGTAATCATATCCATTGATGTGTATAGAAAATACAAAAGAAATGAAGTTCCTATATAATTCCTTCATTGAGATCTGAAAACCCGAAAATCAACGGGAAACAGGGGGTAGACGTCTTTAAAAAATATTTTCGACCCCTTACAGGTGAAATAAAAATTTCATTTTAGGCTCATTTGAAAGCCCTTGAAATTTGCTACAAGATAGCATCGATTTTATTTTCCGAAAAAAATTAACCTTGAAGACATAATGTTATAAACTTTTAGGTCATAAAAATCACTCAAACGCCCCCCAAAAAGTGATGAAAATGTAACTTACAAACTAAACTCATTATTTCTCAAAGATTAATTTTTTCTGGATAATATGATGAAAACTATCCTGTAGCAAATTTCAAGGGCTTTCAAATGAGCCTAAAATGAAATTTTTATTTCACCTGTAAGGGGTCGAAAATATTTTTTAAAGACGTCTACCCCCTGTTTCCCGTTGATTTTCGGGTTTTCAGATCTCAATGAAGGAATTATATAGGAACTTCATTTCTTTTGTATTTTCTATACACATCAATGGATATGTTTACAGGAATTTTTGTAGATTTTTCGGACCACCCCTAAGGCCGAAAATACAAGTGGCTGTATAGTTATGTGGAGGTAATTTTGGCAGGTAAAGTGGAAATTGACTGAATAAAACTTAATAATTTCTGAAAAAGCATAATAATCGGTCCATTTGCTGCTTGTCTATTATATTTAAGTGTAAAAATTTCCAAATTCATATTTAAGCAGGAAAAATTTTGAAAAATAGGGTGGCTGTATAGTTATGTGGCTGAGTGTATTTAATATTAATAATGACGATATAAAATAAAATAATAATTGTGGAATCATTTTATTATTTGATATCTTTATCTATGTATTTTTTAGGATCTTTTAATAATTAATAAACAAAAATCCATGAAAATTATAAAATAGATACATTAGAACAAAGAATTATCTCTATATTTTTATTCTAAATTTTAAATAGGGCGCAGAAAATATATTGGCGAATTTATCCAAAATTACTGTTAAAAATACTGAAAAATACGTTAATGGTCATCCTCAGTTTTTTGAATGGATAACCGCAATCCACTCATTTTGCGATTTAAAGAGAACTAAAAATGGAAGGATTTATTGATGGATTTATCCCTTTTTAAATAAATTTTATTTTTGTAATAGAAAGAGATTCAAACAATTCAATTGCGATGGATGAAATTATTTTAGCAAATTTTTCGATTATATGTATTTTGGGTCAAACTTGTGATAAATAATATAAAGAGTAAAAGTAATTATTTGAGATAAAAGACGATATAAAATAAAAAAGATTTTTAAAAAAAATTAGAAAAAAATTTGAAAAATTCTCGAGGCCTTTAAAAATTCCAAAATTAAAAATTCCAAATACAACTTTACGATAAATTTTCCCTCAATCCTGACAGCTCTGTTCTAGAAACCATTAAAATAAAAAATATACCTATTTATTTTTTATTAAACAATTTAATATTTTTTATCATTTAAGCTAAATAAATAAATATTTATTTATTTTGTTTGACTTTGTTTCCCATATTTATAAAAACATTCACTACATTATTTTTTATTTAAAAAGAAATTTCTTCACAAAAATTAGACAACATTTAACATAAATTCTCGAGGCATAAATTCTCGATTAACATAAATTCTCGATATTTTTCTCTAATTTTTAATATTCTTATCTGCAATTTTTATCATTACTTATTTATTTTTATTAATTAATTGATCATTATTTCCTTCAAAGTTCTTTTGCATTAAGATCATTAATATTTAAATTTTTTTTATTTTTTACAAGAACTTTGTTAATACTTATAATTAATACATTTCTCCAAATAAATTATAAGCTTATCGTCGATTTTAGTTTTCTTGACTTATGCCGCATTAGTTGAGCTATTTTTACTTTATATTTTTTAGTATTAATAAGTGAATAGTGTTAATATTGTTTAAAAATTTAAAATCTTGTTTAAATATTGATAATTATTTTATTGTTTTTAATTATTTTAAAATATTTTTATAATTATTGCTTAAAATTTTTTATTTAATCCAAATAATGACTAAAAGCCGTTCTCGTTTTCTAATTTAAAACATTTAAATCTTCATGTGTCGGTGCCAAAATTATTTGTTGAGGGTGCACTTTAACTTGTGACCGAACTAGACATACCTTCCTCTATTCAATTCGTCACATTATTGTACTTTAACTGTAACAAATGATCTAATTTAAAGTCATTGTGTTTTCATGTCTTGCATATTAAAGACCTGCACACAACTTCGGTCACATTTTTTAAATATTTTAACTTAAAAACATCTCTTAATTATCTTTATTTTTGCTAATTAAATATTTAAATTTACAATTAATTTTTTAATACTTCATTTAAATTAATACCGTCTTAATATTAAATAGTTGATTGCATGCGAAATTTGCTCTAGAAAAATAAAAAAAATGTGCAGATGCTATCATTAAAACTAGAATATTCTCCCTTTCATTTTGGGGAGAATATATTTGGGGAGAATATATTTTTTTTTCCTTCCATTTATTTTTAATTTTTGTTAAATCTTGTCTGGACCGATTTGATACTTTTATCAATAAATTTTGTAAAATAAAATTTATTGCTATAAAATATTTCTCACTGCTTATATCCAATTTTCTAAGTAAAATATAGTTAATTATCTTTAAAGTTCATTAAAGGAATAGATTTGTAAAATGCGCCGCGTACTTAATTCAACAAAACTAAGAACCTCTTCATCTGTTAATACTTTATCAACTCTTTATATTATCCGTAATCAAAGCAGACTTGCTTCTTCTCCATTACAAATAAAAAATGACAAAAATAATTCTTTAAAAATAAAAAAATTTCCTCTTAAAAATAATAATATTAATATAAGGCAAATAAATTCTAATTGTTTTTCTGATAGGTAAATTAAATAATTGAAAATAATTTTAATTTTCGATTTAAGGCATAATGGACCTTGTGGTGAGTTGAAATTAAAAAATACCTATAGAATTTTATTTTAATTTGTAAAATTCTTTCAGAGTTGGAGAAACAACAAATGCTTCGTTATCTTGGATTTAAAGCAAATATTTTATTTTATGAAATAAAGTCGGACCTTTTACTTGTGTATCTGACGAAGATTTCATAAATGGGGACCACATCCATAAAATTCCGAGTCCCTGAATGAAGAAACAAACCTATTAGATAGAACTAGACAGTTCTCCTCTCCCTCCCTTCTCCCTTCCTAAGTCCATTATTTCAAGATTCACAAAATTAACTGAAAAAAGTATAGATTTCTGTTTGGTGTACAGGTGATGTAAATGTCCCGGGTGAAGCTCGGGGTTGACTCGCCAAATTCAATGGTTGCACTTTATATCATAATTTTGTCAAAAGTTGTTCAATCGTATTATGTTTACAAACACCCAAGTTTGTGTAAATTAAGTTGAGGTCCGATTATAATTCGTTGTAGAGTTTCGTGTATCAAATCATTGTAATTTAAACATTTTTAAAAAGGATTTGGACGAATTAACCAACACAAACGTGCCAGAAAGTATTCGTTTACGTCAAAAATTGGGAAAAGAAATTCCTGAGGAAGGCGTAGAAGAATCTAAAATGTTAAACGAATTTAGAGAGATTGCTTCATTAAATAATCCTTACAAAACTTTTATTGGTAAATTTAAACAAATTAAATTAAAAGATTAAAATTATAGAATTTTTTATTAGTGGCCAATTTTTATCAATGTCTTAGATTTTCCATTAAGTAGGGGTTAATAATCCAAAAATCAACTTCTTATGATATCGGGTTTCTCTCATGTTACAACCTCTTGCCGTTTTTATAGGCCAAATAATTATGAACCACGTTCTTGCGATTCCTGACTGAACTATTTTGTTTTTGAATATTTTTGATTAAAAATTTAGTAAAAAATTTTTAAAATAATTTATTGCATTTTTTATTTTAATTTCATTAATTTTTAGGTATGGGATTTTATGGTATGTTATTATTTAATATATTTGTTAAAAATTATTGAAAACTATTTTAAAGATTGTATTGTACCTTCAGTAATTGTTAAAAATATGTTACAAAATGCTGCATGGTGATTAATTATTTAAATTTTAAAAATATTTAAAAATAATCGGCATCTTCTTTCCCAATGTCTAGGGTTGGCTTTTCCTTGAAAATCACAGGATATGTATCAGGAACCGACTCGAAAATTTTCTAATATCCCACATTTTTCGTTTTCGGATATCTTTAACCGCCAAACTTCCTACATTAACTATCAAACAAGATTAAATTTAGTTTACATTATCAATACAGAACAGTCTTTGTTTTTTAGATGCTTTATTAGCTTGTAACTTTATTATGAAAATTTGGGATTTCCTAGTTAAAAAAATTTATTAAATTTTTATTTATTTTTACTTTCTTAAATTTCTAGGACTTCTCCATATACTCCTTATCAACCAGAAATAGCACAGGGACGCTTAGAAAGTCTTTTAAATTTCCAGACTATGATATCTGATTTAACTGGTTTACCCTTTGCAAATGCTTCAGTAAATTAAATTTAAAATTTGATTTCTTTATAAATTTAAATTAAAGTTGTTAGATGAAAGTACTGCTTGTGCTGAGGCTATTGCTTTAGCTGTTCGTCTAACTAAAAGGAGAAGTATGTCTTTACTTCGAGAAATTATTACATTTTATTTTTGAGCAAATAACAAATTTTAAATTCTTAAAATAAAAATTTACCGTATATACTGTATTTATTACCCTACCTCAAATAATTACCCCAACTGCTTTTATTACCCCTTCAGAGAGAGATCGAAACAATAATTACCCAGGGTAATTAATACAGTATATACGGTAAAATTAAGGTTTCTGTCATTTGATTTTCTTATAAGTAGTGTGATCAGTTCTTGGAAATTTTAGGACATCCGGAACTTAAGCGAAGATCCAAACAGAAAAATCCTCATTTCTTCGAATTTTCAACAACTCTTCTCTTAATAAATTTATTTACAGCAATCCTTTATGATACTGGATTACATCCACAAAATATTGGTGTAATGGCTACACGTTCAGAACCAATGGATATTAATTTTCAACCATTGAATATTAACGATATAAATGTTAATAAAAAGTTTGGGGATAATATTGCTGCAATTATTTTACAATATCCAAACACAGAAGGGTTAATTTATGAAGATTTGGATTTATTAATTCTATGCGCACATAAAGAAAAGGTTTAAGATAATTTTGAATAAATTATTGAAATCAGACTGAAAACTTGCGGTTTCGAGTTTTTTCAAGGATTAAACAAATCATGTTAAATATACGCATAGAAAAGGGAAAATATTAAAGTGAGCAAATACAAAGGTCCGGCCAGATTAGAAATGATTAGTTCTTATAATTAAATAATGAACATCGTGGTTGAGTATTTATGCGGGGCATTAATGTCAAGAGTAAGGTAAAAAGTGAATAACACATAATAGATATTGGTCGGGAATGTTGATAAACTGAGAGCGTCAGAATTCCTTTTCACAGATGAAAAACAGGGTTGGGCTGTTTTGCCATTCTGTTTTTTTTAAATGTGTAAGGGCTCATCCCTGATTATAAGGTAAAATGCACGTGAATAAGCACACACATCCTTCTATACTTATAAAAATCTTCTACATATATTAATTTTTAGATTCTCGTTATAATGGTTTGCGATTTACTTTCTCTCACACTTTTACGTTCTGCCGGAGATTTGGGTGCAGATATTGCAGTAGGTAGTGCTCAACGGTTTGGACTTCCTCTTGGCTATGGCGGGCCTCATGCTGGTTTTATGTCTGTTGCCAATTTAGCTTTGGCTAGACAAATGCCTGGAAGGATTGTTGGAGTTTCTAGGTGTTTTTTGGAAATTATTTACGATATTTTTTCAAATTTTTAGAGATCAACAGGGAAATATTGCTTATCGATTAACTCTCCAAACTAGAGAACAGCATATACGAAGAGATAAAGCAACCTCCAATATTTGCACTGCTCAAGCACTTCCTGCTAATATTTCGGCAATGTTTGTGCTTTTTAAATTGTTTGACCGAGAGATATTGAGAGGATTTTAAGAAAAATTATTTTTGAATATTTAAGGTATGCAATCTATCATGGACCCAATCGTTTAGTTTATATTGCCAAAATGATACATAAAGCTACATCATTTCTTTCTCAAAGTAATTCGAAATTTGGTTTAGTTCAAAATTTTTACTAATCTAATTAGTGTTGCCGGCCCGGTTTAGGTCGGTTCGATAGATCGAATCGGGCATCGAATCTTGGCCCGAAAAGAGCTGTTTAGAAATAAATTAATCTATGGAACTCTGAATACCAAATCCGAAAAAGTTATCGAAATAGAAAATATTTTTAGAAATTTTCGAAATCGAAAACCGAATGATGATCAATCGAGAGAGTGATCAAACGTTGATAAACGACAGTGATACGATCACCTCGTGACCAATCAAGAATCCCCTTAGAAATTAATTGATTACTATCTGTTGATCAATTGAGAATTATGATCAAAATGAACTCTTCACCTTCTTTGGAACAACATTCCCTTGTAGTATAATAAAATTTAAAAAATTAGTGTTAATCATATGGTTTCGGTATTTTGGGTCATCGCTACTTTGGATGCGATTTTTCGGTATAGATACTCTGAGATGGACACTTAATAAGTACCTAAAATATAATATTTATCTCTAACCAATTAAAAATTAATTTTTTAAGCCTTAAAAGCTAATGGAATTCAAGTTGTCCATAAATGTTTTTTCGATACATTAAAAATCCTTCCATTAAATAAGCAATTATTTGATTTAAAATGTGAGGAAAAAAGAATAAATGTTAGAAATTATAATGACGGGTATATTGGTATTTCTTTGGATGAAACAACTAAAAGTATTTTTAAAAGAATATTTTTTTAATTAATTTTTAAAAAGTTGGTGATATTTGTGATATTCTTTATTTATTTGGAATTAATATTTGTGAGGTAAATTTAAAATTATAATCAGTGCTTAACATTATTGGTGGGACTGGTACATATCTATGGTTGTTTCTTACAAAATGACACCGGGACGTTCTTTAGACAAGATTCGGACTTCCTCAGTTTGACCCCTGAACCTCCCCCACCCTAAAACAGCTTTTAGCAAAATAAATATTTGCTTTACAAGGTATCGGGCATTGAAACCCCGACCCTGGCCAATGTTTAGTTCTAATTATAATGTAATTAATTAAGAATTTAATTCTTTTAGAACGAAATTAAAAATAAATTAATGGAAATTCCAACACCTTTAATTGGTGATTCACTACATTCTAGACATTCACCTTTTTTAACTGGACATGTATTTAATAGTTATCATAGTGAAACTCAGATTATTAGGTCAATAATTTTTAATAATTTTATCAAATTTTAAAATTGAAAATTTACTTCCCAATATCCTCTATTCAATATCCTCCTTACTTTATCAGTATGGCCAGTATTTAAAAATCTTTAATTTGCTCTCATACTTGTACTACCTTTAGAACATTACATAAGTATTAAATACTATATAACACGATCATTTAACCGCATTGTCAGTTAAGCCTACATACATATTTATCATTGTACTGTTAAAGCCGCAGTCATAAGTTCATTTAATCCTATGGTAGGGACCAGACCTTAGTAGGGACCAGAGATCTCGATCGAAAATTTTGGTTATCGAGAATCGAGATTTTTCGAGATGCAGATTCCTGTACAACACTCCGAGTCCGGTCTCTAATTTTAATTACCTATAATTTATTTAAAGATACATGAAAAGACTTGAAAACAAGGATCTCTCACTTGTACATTCAATGGTTAAAATAATTTTATTTTAAATTAATTTCTTAAATTATAGATTCCCCTCGGTTCTTGTACAATGAAATTAAATGCAAGTTGTGAATTAATTCCTGTAAATTTTTAAAAACTTTATTTAAATTTAAAAAATTATTTAAAGATAAGTTGGCCAAAATTAGCTAATATTCACCCTTTTGTACCTACAGAACAAGCAAAAGGATATTCTAAAGTAATTTGGAATTGATTAGTTTAATTATTATTTTTGTCAGATTTTTAATGATTTGGAACGTTGGTTGTGTGAACTTACTGGTTATGATAAATTCTCTTTACAGCCAAATAGGTACTAGTAAATTATTATTTATAAAAATAATTTTATGATGTCTAGACTAGGGTTGGGGGCCCGATCCGGCCTGGTCCGAAAGATCGAGTCGGGCCTTGAATTTTGGCCCGAAAAAGACTTGGTCGTGTCAGCCCCATATAAATGAGGCACAAAAAATGACTCGAACGTCTGCCCGACTCGAAAACACCAACCCTAGTCTAGACAATTTTCAATTTTATAAATTTAGTGAATTTAACTGAAAATATTTAACATTTATGGATAATTTAAACTTTAGCTTCTGAAACGGTTTAACTTCTGTTTAAAGGAAAATTTTCTTTAGAATTTGTTTTAGTTTAAGCTCTCCCCCACCACCGTCCGTTTCCATTTTAAGTTATATTCGGAAAGCTCGTCTAGCCGGGTCCAATGAGTACTAGCTGGTGAAAAAATCTCCGATTGAGTCACTAGTGAGTCGCTTTTTTACTGATCTCCGAACTAGTCAAATTTTTGGGCTTAAGAAGTTAGTAAGTCGAAGAGAGCGAAACTGAAATTATTTTTAGTCAACTACAATCAACCAAATTTATTCAAATTTTTTAGTGGGGCTAATGGTGAATATGCGGGTATGTTGGCAATTCGTGGTTATTTCCATTCTAAAGGGGAAAGCCAAAGAAATGTAAATTTGATTATGAAAAAGTTTTTGAAATAAATTTATTAAAATTTAAAGATTTGTTTAATCCCTGTATCTGCCCATGGAACTAACCCAGCTACTGCCCACATGGCTAATTTTAAAGTTGTCCCAGTTGAATCAGATAAGCATGGAAATATTAATTTTAAAGATCTCTCTGCTAAAGTAAAAAAAAATAAGTTAAAATTAAAATTTAAATATATTTAAGTGTGAACGTTTTTCTAAAGAATTAGCATGTGCAATGATTACATATCCTGTAAGATTATTTTTTCAAAAATTAACCAAAGCCTTAAAATTATTATTATTATTTCATCGTACGCCCCAATCAAAAATTAATTTTTTAACAACAAAATCGGCCTTTTTCTATTTACTTTGGAATAAACTAAAATTATGAAATCTTTAGGGCTGTTAGTATTAAATAATATGTTAACATCCAAATTCGTATCCAGTTTGCAAGCACAATTTCATTATATGTAGCAGGGTTGCGTCGTAATTACGGTTTACGAATTACGGCGTTTTTTCAGTTACGAATTACGATTACGAAAATTTTTTTAAAATTACGATTACGAAAAAAAATTTTCGATTACGACGCAACTCTGATATGTAGTAGTTTATGTAGTATATCGTGATTCACCAGTTTTATGCGAGTAGAAGCCTTATCCAAGAACGCACAATATAGCTCCTTGGTTTTCAAACGCAGATTTTTAACTATTTAATCTAATACAAATCGAAATTTTTTAAAAATCATTTAATATTTTAAGTCAACTCATGGAGTTTTTGAATCACAAATTAAAGAAGTTTGCAATAAAATACACGAACATGGTTAAATTATATATAATTTTTGAAAAAATATATTTTCAAAGGAGGTCAAGTTTATTTGGATGGTGCTAATTTTAATGCACAAGCATGCCTTTGCCGACCTGGAGATTATGGAAGTGATATTTCCCATTTTAATTTACACAAAACTTTTTGTATACCTCATGGTGGTGGAGGACCAGGAATGGGACCAATTGGAGTGTATGTTAGATATTATTAGGAAATATGGGGAGATATAGGGAGAGATGAGTAATTTGACAAATGAAAACATTAATAATTTAGGGGAAAAATTTTAAGTAAAAATTTTAATTAATTTTATCTAATAATTTTAAACTAACATTTTGCCCAATAATTAAATATTGAAGGAGGACAGTCCTTTTTTAGTAAATTTTGGTAAAAGGACTGGTCCTAAGTTCAAGACTTTTGTTTCAATGAATTTCTTGTGGGGTTTCTTTCTTGGTTTTGTGGCTAACCTTCAACTTGGGGTCTAGCTTGAGACTTGGAAATTTTCATATTTAACACATTTTTCGTATCCAAGATTTCCTTCCAAATCAAAGCAAACCCCACGAAATTTATATAATTATTTAAGTAAATCACATCTTGCACCTTTCTTACCTGGGCATCCAATAATACCACAAAATGGAGAAAAAAGATATGATGGCGTTGTGAGCGGTGCTCCTTGGGGAAGTGCCAGTATTTTGCCAATTACGTGGGCATATATTAGATTGTAAAATAATTTTTTTCGTATTTATTTTTTAAACTGTTTTTTAAAGAATGGGTATTTCTGGTCTCAAAATTGCCTCCCAAATGGCTATACTTAATGCTAATTATATGGCAAAAAGATTAGAAAATGCTGGTTATCGAGTTGTTTACAGAGACGAACAAGGCTTAAACGCTCACGAATTTATTATAGACTGCAAACCTTTCAAGCATGTTGGTATTGAAGTAGATAATATAGCTAAACGTTTAATGGATTTTGGATTTCATGCACCAACAATGCATTGGCTAGATTTTTACATTTTTAATGGAGAAAAAACTTAAAAATTTTCTCAGGCCAATTCGGGACAGTTTAATGATCGAACCGACAGAGAGTGAGGACAAAGCAGAATTGGATCGGTACTGTGATTCTTTGATTGCAATTAAACAAGAAATAGAGCAAATATCTAAAGGACAACTACACATTGATCTCTACAAAGTAGGGATTGAAAATATTAAACTACTAATTTTTGTGATTCAGAACGCCCCACACACCCAAGCAGTTTTGATGGCCGACAATTGGGACAGACCTTACAGTCGAGAACAAGCTGGTTGGCCAAAGCCATGGTGTCTTACACCAAGGAAGGTATGGCCGTCCTGTGGAAGAATTGACGATTCGTTTGGTGATCGAAATTTAGTATGCATGTGTCCTTCCGTTGAAGAATTGGCACATCAATAAGATTTATGATTTTCAAATTTACTAATGTCCTATTTTTTCTTTTAATTAAATAAATACGTTGAATAAATGGGAAAAATCCACGGTTGTGGGTCAATAGGCTGCGCAACAGAGTGCTGCCACTGAGAGCGGGGCCATTAGAGTTAAAAAACCAGTACGATTTTTTGGCAAACCCCAGAACCACATACAAGCGCTGTAGAAGTTATTGAGAAAGCAAGAACAATGTTCACATCCAATTTTTAAATTTACACATTGTTTTTAAATTTAGACGCTCTAGTGGCGCGCGTTTATATAATAAAGATGTTTAAAAATATATTTATAATAATACCGATTAAGATAAATATGTAAATAAAAAAATAATTTTCTTAAAATTTAGATTTTGTTTTCATCACTTTTTAATTATTTATCATCTTTTAATTTAAAAATTTCATTAATTGATGGTACTCTAATAAGATTATCTTTATTATTTTTATTATTTTCTTTAAATATTTCTCTTATTTGAGGCCATTTAATTAATTTTAAATTTTTATTTTGTTTGGTATTTTGATTGAATTTTTCATTGTTAATATTTTCATAATTTAATTTCTGAGTAGACTGATTATTGTTTTGATCTAACAAAAAATGACATTTAAAGTTTTCATTTATTTTAGAGCTTAGAATTCCGATCACTTTTAATTGCAAAATTAAATTATCGGTACGGTAAAATTTTGAATTTCATAGGTATTCCGTATCGAAATTCCGAGTTATAATTATTTTTATTACCTAATTGACTTTTTATATGTTGATTTTGTTTATTTGTATTAATATGATTTTGTTTAAATTCCTCTTCAAATTTAATACCAAGACGAGATTCAATTCTTAAATTTTTTTATATTTATTAGGTATCGGATTTTTAGGTTGTAAACCTTATAGTTAATTAATAGTTTGTGTAATGCACCCAATTATGTACTTAAATAAAATAGATTGCAAAAGCAGGATTTTTTAAAAATATTGGCGGATTAAAACCCGGAATTTCTGGGCGTCCTTTAAGTGATCCCTTCCTTCAAGTGAAAAAATCCTGTACGTAATCCTCCTCTGCAACACTCTTGTCAACATAACTATTACAGGAAAATAAGTAATATAATTTAGCCTAAAAATCCGATCCTTACTAATTGTATAATTAAATTAAATTTACATATTTTTTAATTCAGAATGATTCGAATATATTCCATAAATTGAATTATTATTAAATCCATATTTATTATTTAGTTTTCCCATATGGAAATTAAGAGTAGAAATAAATTCATTAATATAATTTGGAATTGAAGAATCCTCTTTAAAATCGAGACCAACTAGCCAAATAACGCGAAGCATTTGAAAACTTTAAAATTTTTGAGAATGATTATATTTATGTAATAAAGTTTTATAGCATGGGTGGTATTTAAGAAATTGAAGTTACAACTAAGAGTACGAGGAAAAAAGCCCCTGTGTGTGTAGCACAAATTTCTAATTTCCAAACAACTGTTTTTGATTTAGTTCTTATAAGATTCTATTTTAGAACTATGTTTCCATTTTGTGTTTTGATCAAACAATATTTTAGTCTTAGAGGGAAATTTATAAGAACGAGTCACGAATTTTCATAGAAATAAGTTTTTAACTATGACTGGATCAAGACAAGATCTCGAGCTAATATATTGGTTATCGGGAGCCAGGTTTGGGATTTGCCGAGTAGATTCTTGCCCGACAGTTATTTGTTTTATGAGATTTGAACGTTTTCGAGTATCTTGTACGATACTCTTGCACACTCCCGGTCCGGTCTCTTGTTTCAACTATAATTTTATTAATTACCTTTTATTATTCATTCGCCTTTTTCTTGCAAATCCACTTAAAGTATGATAATTATTCAATCTATCTTTTAAAATAATTGTTAGTTTATTTTTTGCTTGAATAACAGTTTTTTCTACCCAACGATAAAGTAAAGTTCTAACTCTAGTTTTTAATTGTCCACAATTTGGAGGGGAAACTGATGAAAATTCTTTTTGATTTTCAGTATTAATGTCTTTAAATGATGTACATTCTAATAACAAAAAATGACAAAATTTATTTTTATAATCCAATTGTTTGAAAATTAAATTATTTTCATTCAAATTTTTAGAAGAATTTTTATCCGTTTCTTCAATCAGAATTTTGTAAGCTAAAATAAATAGAAAAACATCATTTAGAAAACTACCGTATTATCTCTATTAGAATGCCCCTCTCCATTTGAATGCCCCCTCTAATAGAATGCCCCTTTGGAAGGTGATTGAAAAATAGAATGCCCGGGCATTCTATTAGAGATAATACGGTATATGTAATCTTCTCGTTCAAATTAAAAATTTTCTTTAATTATTTGTCTGTTTATCAGGGCAAAACAAAATACGTAAATTATCTTGATATATTAAAATGTTTATTGTTTCCATAGAGATAGAGAGTTAAAAGTTTATCCCCGCATATAAATGATCATGAAGCCTCTGCGTATTCTAAGAACGGGGTAGGGATTTTTGGAATTTTTAACCCGAGGAGGGTTAAAAAGTCACCATATAGATTCTCCACTGACTAATCGGGGTGCGGTTTTACATTTAATAGATCTTAAGCCCATGCCGACAAAGAATTTTAGTCACTAGCTTGCTAAATTTACATTCATTCTTCCTTATATTAGAATAATTTCGAAGTAATTTTATCTTTAACCCACATATTTTTGTTCAATTATTAAAAGCATTTCTGCAACAGAAATTATGAAAACTTTACCTCTATTAATCTCTACTTTGATAATATTCAATGTATGGTTATTAACATTATAAGATGCATTTTGATTTGGAAAAAGTGAAGTAATTACAGGCATTTTATCACCATCGTGATATTCTGAAGGCAACAAATTTTTTAGATTCCAATTTTGAAAAATATTGTTTGAATTTACTAATGAATCCAAAATTACTGGAATTGGCCAAGGCCTGAATTAGCAAAATTGAAAAGCCTGAACAGATTATTATCTAGAATTATCTATTAGGTAATTGGTTATTATCTCTTAATTTTTATTTCAAGTTTCATATAAATTTTGTTTTTATTTTGGTTGTTTTTTCAAAAAAAAATCACTCATTTTCAAAAATTTCGGTTTATCACTTCAATCTCAAAAACAACTATTTCAAACAAAAATTACAAGATTTACTCAAGGACATTGAGAGTCTAATTACTCTCACACTAGAGAGGGTGATTATTTGAGGAGGGTAATTAGAGGAGGGTGATTTTTTAGATTTTTATTTTGCCTAATTTATTTAATAAACAAACCAAATGCTATAAATTAGGAAGAATTGTCTTAACAAAAATAGTAAATTTCCATTAGGATATAAAAGACAAATCTTTGCTGTCATTATTAATAAAATTGTGCCGCTTAGATAACCAAAAATATTTGAATAAATATGTCGAACTAAATAAATTGTTGATTTATGTATATAGGTAAAAAATAATTTGAACCTTTTGCCCATTGTTTAACAACGCGCAATAAATTAGTGAACATTTCCTCACGTTCAGGATTTATTAGAGAAAATTTTGTTCGATAAGACATTCTATAACCTTTAAAAAGATTTACTATCTTTAATTTATTTTTTAATTTGTCTCTGATATTATTTTAATTGTTAAAAAATCTAAGAGTTCCCAGTTGATCAGTCTTTATGTGGGATCCAAAAGAGAAGCACCCCGTGTGGATTTGTACACACGGGGCCAACCCAATAGCTCTTTATTGGCCAACCCAATAGCTCTCCCTAGCGAATATGTATATGGCAACATGTTCATAGGTTTGATTTACAGAATTTTTCCAGCATACTTTTACTTTACCAATATATATTTAATATAATTTATTAGAAACTAGCCTATAAGGATTAAAATACTCTGAAAATGTTGAGAATTATTTAAATTATCCATTCGCTCAATTAGTTCATTTAATATGTAAATATTTTCTTTAATAACTTCTTTATTATTATGTTCCGACAATTTTAATTCTGCAGGAATTGATGTAACTGGAAGTTGTGCGAACATAATATCCATTTCATGTCCTTCTATTACTAATTCTATAAGTGGTACACGAGCATTGGCTATTGAATTGATATTGAATAAATCACAATTGAAATTCTATAATCATGAAATATTTTTAATGAACTTGATAATATTATAAAATTCCAAGGTTGGCGATCTTGGGAGATTCCATGATATCCTGATCCAATCCGAAATTTATGGATGTTTGAATCCCATATCCCTTCCGAAATTTTTGAATCAAACACATAAGCTGTGAAAAATTTGTTACAGATAGGATCTCGAAAATAGTCTCCATGGAGCAACGCAACTGGAATATACAATAACCAGTATAGCATAATTTCAACACAGCTGCCGAAATTTTTTAGAATTTTCGATAGCCAATAGAACTGGATCATAAAGGAAGGGACACGCCCACTTTGTCGCGCGGCCACATTGTCGCAGAGCCATAACTTGCTAAAAAATTACTGGCCCTTATCAATTTTGTTACCAATCTCTTTAGCTCGATGAGAGGAATCGTTTAATACAAAGTTGGTAAGATTCGGAAAACTTGAAGAAAGTTATG